CATACGGAATTCTGATGAAGCACGTCACCTACTTCGTAGAGGTGCTTTATACGTACTCTGACTGATTGACAGAGCTTTCAACGACTGTCGCTTCGGCGACCTTTGCAGGGCAAGGACGACCATTGCCCTCCCGAGACTGCCCCCAAAGTCCATACCCTACGTACGTAGCTGACAAGGTATATGCTGCTGATGTCAAATCGGCGTCGTCGGCGGCGGCAAAGCAACGACTAGCGCACTAGGACGACTGTATAACTAAACGACCTTGTTCACTACGTTGACACACTTTAAAACTACGTGCTGTCTCTTACTTTAAAAGGTCGGATCAGTAAGGGATACAACCAGTCAGATTGTACACTGCCAGTAACCAACAGGTTTAGAACAATTTAGGGTTGTCTATAAAAGCTAACAAGTTTTAGAGAAATGGGATACTGTCAGCTGGTTAATAGAGCCACTCCCATGGGCTGAGTCGAGCTCACGAACTGATAGAGTGTTCAGTCTTTGGAAATTGAGGGTTATCTGCGAATAGGCGCCAATTGACAACGTATTGTACAGTGGTCACCTACGTCTCATATAGTGTATTGCATACGTTATTTAACTGTGAAATACGTCCGTGAGTATGCAATATCCTACGATTATAATGGAGATGTATATATGGGTAGGCTGAAAAAATTCGCACATGGATAGCCCTCGTGTGCCCTGTTGAAGGCGGAATAAAAGATACGTTTAAAAGATGCGTTTCTTGAAGTAAAATTTGTACTATATGAATAGGTCCCACCCATGTATTTTTTCTATTGCTGGTTTAAAATTTGTCCAACGTATTTTATAGATCTTTTCTATATTCATCAAATGTGAGAGCGTAAAAATTACTAAAGGCACCTATTACGGGCAGGCATGTACTATGGATAATATTCGATTGACCTTTTCCTAACTAACAGTTAGTGTTACTAACAAGGATATTTCTGCTAAATCAGCATATCCTATCGGGCGAAGAGTCGTGATCCGCTCAGACGCAAAGACCCGCCGGCTCAGGCGGCTCAGATCACATTAATGATGGCAAAATAACAGCACGTAAAACTATTCGATTCGCGTTATTTTTTTCTGGCCGATGCCACTGGAAGAAGCAACCTTGTTTAACATAATTTAGCGATTTCTCCTGGGATTGGTCGCGAGCTCTAGTAGAATCGGGGTCTCAGGCCCTAAGACTTACATGGCTCTGACTGAGGGACGTCTGTACGTCACCTCACGCGTGAGTCGGTGGGTCAGTTTAGTACGCAGGACTGTGTGACGGAGGGGTGAAATGAACGGTACACTGCTCTACTTGATTTGGCCCCCTTAATGTGCCTCTGGTTCTACCCGTATTTTTGCCCCGGAAGAAGAGAAAAATATATTTAGTGAAGAAAAAATTCCTCGTGGCATGACCAAGTCCAGCGTCGATGTCCGAGTTTCGTTGGTGTGAAAATCGGCTTCAGGCAACAGAAATAGACTCATGGGGTCAGCTATGGGAAGAATATTTTCAACCAGCGTGATAGACTAAAGTACATACAGCGTATCTGCTGTCTCGACTGCACGAATTATACGTACTATTTACAGTAAAAGCAGTATGTATTTTACATGCTGTATGTATTTATATAGGCTTACATTATATACAGTTACTAAATATATTCTTGCACACGAGTCCATTACATAGGATGAACTTTGAAGAGAAGAAGATAAAAGATTGTAGGAAGATCGAACGAAGGAACATGCTGCAACTGCTGCTCCACCTAGTTTCATCTAGGGAACTTGGTAGAAAAGAAGACTGCTGGCAAAGATAAATTGTGCGGGTGGGCCGTTTCGGTCCCACCATTTCTACGGGGTTGAACAAAGTATCCGACAAATTCGCCTACACAGCGATACGACCCCGTTCGTTCGCTAGCTTGTCAGCAGGTTAATAAATATACGAGTATGTTTACTATCACTCATGCTGTAAACATGCTAAATTAGCAAAAGGAGAAAATGAAAATAAATCAATAGAATAGAAATATAGTGGACTCCATTTTACGATACGTAAGAATGGCCAATATAGGGTACAAAACTATACGGTAACAAAAAAGCACTTGTTTCAGAAACTCTTGCTGATATATTGGTCATGGTAATTTGCAAGCACTTAGTGTCCATCAAGCTTGTGTGTGTTCGGAGTAAACATCGAAGTGTCTTTTTTAAATAAGTAAATATTCAATGTAGCAACGCATGCATATCTAGACTCATATGTATGGAAAAGATGCTTATGGAATTGCGTCCTTATACGCATGAAAGAGCCTGTTTCATGTCAACTTGAAATTTTCAATGGCAGAGAAACCTCTACTGTACATCAAAAACCCACCAACAAGGACGCGACAGGAAACATGCTACTTCGGTCGACGGTGGTTGTTATTGCGTTTCTGTCACAACTATTGCAGTTTGCGAACGAAATGGCTCGCTGTATGCCAATATTTTACAATATTTCGTAGGAGTCTAACATAACAGTGAAGGCTTCTTGTCTGGGTTACGGATTGGCCTTCCGATCCTTGTCGGCAGGCGACCTCCAAAGGAGGCATTATTCTCTATTGAACTGATAATGCGTATAAATAATTTGGCAAACTAGGTCGTTACAGTATTTGATTGCTTAAAGTGAAGATATTGAGAAAGAAGTTCTGTTGGCCTTAAACTGTATAAAGCGCAGCCGGCAACTATTAATGTAGGTTCATTGTATAGTGAAATTTGGATGAAAGATGCCGATGCCGTAGAACGTCAGCCACACAAGTGACTAGCGTCTCACCGCTATTTCGGCGGCTTGCCCGATTAGCCTCGCGGCCTTCATGCATCACTTCTCAAAGATTTTTGTGTCAAGGCATATGGTACCTCGCGCTGTTCCCCTTTTTGCTGCAGCCTGGGAGGGGTGAGGAAAGGGGATCTTAATAAACGCGATATCCTCCAACAAGATTTCACAATACGGAAACCAATGCAGGGTCTTGAGAGCCTACGAAACAAGAAGGTTGCCGGTCGGGATAAAGGCTGCAACGAGCACCTCAAGGGCAATGTCGTTTTATACCGCGGTAAACGGCATTATTTAACATATCCTCAATCCTGTGCTACTTTGTTAGTGAGTTCTGAGGGAAACGGTGGCCTAACTACTCCATCATCATAGTAAGGAATACAGAAGCGAAACGTCTGTTAAAAGTTGCACTTCGGCTTGCTAACTAAGAGACTGGAGAGCTACACAGAAAGCGTACATGCCATCCCAATGGAGTAACTTGACTTACGAAGAGAACGCTCCATAGAAACGACCTGCAGGATCCTAATAGCCGACATCAAGAAAGCACTAGCTACGCCAAGTGATTAGCTACGTGTCGTGTTTAATGACTCCAAGTCAGCCTTCCAAACGGCAGGTTCTCGCTAAGGTAAATGTCTCTATGAATTTGTATAAACTTCTCGCTGCGCTTCTACAAGTGAACAGAACAAACATCAACGACGGAGTGGCTGAACTCATGCCTCGCATGCAGACAATTGGCTTGATTTAGGGGGGACAACCTAAGCCCACTCTTAACTTTAATATTGTTGAAGGGCCTAGAGGAAATCAGTTGGTGTCAGCTTGTATACAGACGACTTCGAAATATACGGGTTGAACAGGCTCTGATTATAGACCTGACCAAGAAAGAGGCGATGAAGTTTTAGGAGAAGAGGCAGCACAGCAGTTATTGATACCTTGTACCTTGGCATGTCGCTTTTGCCTGTGCAAACTGAGTTTCGTACGTTGTTCGTTTCAACAAACGGCAAAAGAGTCACTGTGAAAGACGCAAGAAACCAGTGATGGCCGCATGGACGATCAAATCGTTTCTTCGATTGCCCCTCGCACCCATTCCCATTCGACGTTTGACCTTAAGGTAGCTCCGATCCCAACATATAGGACGCGTGCCGTTGGGGAAGATCTCCCAGAGAACCTCGAACAATTAAATCACGTTAAAGCATGTTTACACAAACAAGAGAATTGGAGTTACCTGAAATTGCCTCGCCTACCTTCTGGCCGACCCACCACCGCTGTTCGAAACGTCGTCACTTTGAGCTCCCAGCAACAGAAGCTTTCAAGACCATTCTCAGAAGCCGGGAGCAAAAATTGATATGGCTTCTTTTACTTTAGGTACGATGAAAAACAACGCATAATAAGAAACAAATCAGCTAAGAGGACATGTCTTCACTTGTTTTCCCATGTATAGATTCCACCATAGATTCAGTAGAAGGCCTGGTTTTTATTAGCCTGGCGATATTTGTGTTGCAAGTGTGGGGGCGGGGGGGCAATTGTGACAGATATTATGTTACTCCTTGCTATAGCGAAAGGCCAAGTTGTCCCACTGTGGTCTCTGATACAGTCTTTACCACATCTAATAAATGGTTCTATACATTCTCTCGGATATCGGGATATTGTATTGTTAACCTGTATAGACACGCTTTTTGACTACTATTAGCAAAGGTGAATAAATAAAATTTGATTGATTGAAGTATCGAAGATGGGTACGTTATCACTACGAATAGTGACACATCTCAACAATTTAGAAACAGGTAAACCCGGAAATTTAACTTGAAAATAGCTGGTACCGGTAGCTGTAAAATACTGTTACCTCTGGTAGGCATCGCTGCCTAAGGAGGTGGCTTTGAGGGGCTTTTGCACATCTGGGTGTTTCCGAAATCTAAACCGCCCTTGAAGCTGCCTCATCGGCACAACATTCAGAATAAGTGACTTAGTACGAGTCAACTATGGAGAACGTGAGCTATATAAACGGCTAAGCTTTGAGGTCTTTCGTTAAGATGAAGTAACATGTACGAGAAAATGGCGTGACCTGGATAGTTAACGCGCATGTCTTTAAGTGCGTTGTTCTGGTAACCATAATTAACATGCACCCTGCCAGGATGGTTCAAACTTCAGTGTAAAAAAAATAACTCTAGCAATTGCTATTTCATGCGAGAAGTGAAATCTAGTGATTTACCGGCAAGAGATGACAGTGTCAGGATACGTCTACCTACACGTTCGACAAGGTAGACGCCCACAGTAGAGAAGGCGAAATTGAAGAAGGCTACACCCGCCGACAGCCAAATGGCGATGCGTTTATCTCGAAATCCAGACATTTCGATGATTGTCGCCGAATAGTACATTACCTAATTGGAAATGTAAAAGCAGAACATTCTGTTGATTAGTTTATTTATAATAGGTAGGCGGATATATATATATACCTACCTATTCCAAACAGACATGGGTATATTATACGAAGACCGCGTCTCCGTACCTAACTTTGAAAAACAGCTCTAAAAAAGGCGAATCAGCTACTTTCGCTCCTCTCAGTAGGGTGGGTCAGCTCAGCCTTAGGCGTTTACAAACTTAGCTCGTTTTTAACCTTGTAGCGTGTGTCGTTTGTAGTTTAAGGCATTTCCCGCCGCGCATTTTATTTTAGTATAACTGCTTAAGCATTAAGAGCTTTCTTTTTTGCTATCGGACGCGAATACTAGTACCCCTGATTTTCTGATGAAATCGATGCGTTTTCCCCAGTTTCCAGAATACTGTTCTACATCTGAACGAGCTGTATGATCTATTTGGATTTTCCTTACTACTTCGTGACATGAAGTAGACTTCGGGATCTTGTTTAGTCTATGATTATTTATTATGATGCACCTTGACCTCGTCATACTAACCGTGTTTATGGCGATGATTTGCTGGAATACCATTAGCATGACGCCGACAATGAAACGTTTTCGTAAAAATGCGTCTGCCCATACCTTACCCAAAATGAAGCCTGAAACCAGAATGAAACAATAGTCAGCTTTCAACATATTGCAATACAATATGAGAAACGATCTGTAAATGGACCCGAACTATAGACCGATCTCGAAATGTTTCATCTAAGGTTAAATGAAACTGGCTTTTAAACGAAAAAAAGGTAAAAACCATACGGATAACATTCCAGCCGCTTGAACTCACCCCGGTTCGTTGCATCGTGTTAATAAATTGTCTATTATTGCTTACCGCATCTACAAACTACGAGCATTAATGAAATTGTGGTAATTATATACGACTCGCACTCTGAACCTTATATAATACACAGTTATATTTGGTCATTATGTTCGCACTCAATAATTAAATTGTTTTGCCGTTGTTGAAAGCATCCCGGTCCGTGACGGGCTGTAGACAGCACAAGGTAGGTTTCAATTAGACCACGCTACCTGTTGCAACAAAAGACAGACATGCTAATTTTCGCAATCCAATTCACCATTTTCCATCTCTAAGCTTGGTCAGAAAAAACGTTTCATACTTTGGCAGAGTGTTTATTGTTGCCCGTTCCTCTCGACACTAACCACTGCTACTCCTTACAGAATTCACCGCCCACGGTGCAAAGCGTCCATTAGGGACGTTGAGGGAAAACGTCAGTCACTCAAGGTTACTGGTCGTGCGCGAGCCTCGCCCACTTTTGTTCCTATCCTAGTGCTCGTCGTGTTCTAGGCCAAAAGGGTTGCCGTTTCCGGGAAGCTGGAACCCTTTTCCAGCGATCCTGCGCACACGCTATTGCGTTCAATGTGTCTCAGTCAAGAAATTTTCCGTCCATTCATTGTTTTTCTGTTACTTATTGCGTCCGTCTGTTTCGAAGGACAAGAAACGTCCGCTATAAAATTTCGTTTGCTTCTTTGAAAAGCCACGCTCAAGGATTTTAGTTGAAGCCAATAGCTAAACCGAATTACACCGAGCTAAAAGATTGTATCAACTGAGAGCTGCGATGTTCAGGCCGATACTTATTTCACCATCTCCAGCATGATGTGATTGCCCTAGAACGAAACTTCGCGGATGAGCCGGACCACCGTAGAGGTGGGGGGGGGGGGGGCAAAAGCAAGAAGTTATTTAAATCGGAATATATTGGGGGCTAATCAAGAAACCCACGGAAGGGCAAAGACCAAAGAAAGCAGAGACCGGAAGGTCTGAATGCCGTTTTTGCAACATGTTTTATCTTCCTGTTTTGCCTAGGGAGAAACAAGCCAGGGGTCAAGTACTACGAGCGTCAAAGACCGCAAAGCAAAGTGAGAATAACACAAAGTACAGTGAGCACGTAGAAAGGGGCAAAAGAGGACTATTTACGGATGTCCGTCTTATTTTTGCTTTCCCTCCGTCTTCTCCGCTTCTGGTTTCGCTGGGACTGGGTATCCGGACTGGGCATTACCTCAGGGCATGCTGTCCAAAACGTTGGTAACTGGAAACAAAAAAATGAAAGAGAGGCAAAGCGGCGCGGCATGGGCGTTTATCTGTCGGAACAAGACGTGCTCCTCTACGGCATCCACAGAGATACTTGTCTTTCTGTACTTGAGTGACCGTGTGTACACAGGTGCGTAAAATTCTTTCAGTCCCTTAAATGTGTCTTAAAATTTAGGACAAGCGCTAAGTTGGGTAAACGCGGCGCACGTTAAATACTTATGAAATGTTTCTTCAAAGTTAGATTGTTATTCAAGATTTTTTTCCCAAAGTAGAATTGTACATTTCCTAAAAAAAAAAACTTTGGAAAACAAAGTAAGCGTACACTATCTGTGAAGTTGAAGTACCAATTTTTCGAATTATACTCGTAACCATACGCGAAGTGAACTTGCCTTTAACGAGCAACTTGGTACCTTTTGAGGCACTTATTATTTACGGTTGATTTTTATCCACCCTACTCATGTGGAACAACTATATTTAACAGTTAGAATAGTAATAATTAGTCCTACAACAATATGGCGTCGGTTGTTAACTTGACGATTCTAGAGCTGTAAACAGTTTATTAGGGTAATAAGTAACTTTTACGTCAGTTTCGGTAACGTGAGTAGAATAAACACATTGCATTGAGATAGCACAAATATAAACGTTTGGCTCAGTACGACGAGCCAAATATCATTACTCGACGAGTTTCTGAGGCAGTTTTCAATGTTACCTCCCCAAAGGGGGAGACAGTACAAGCTAACGCCTTTTTGTTATTCCAATTCACATACACAGTCAGGGACTACTTTTTAAAGGTCCTCGATCGACATCCTGACATAAGGCACACGCATCTTTCGCATCGCGCCCAATAGGTCCTCCAAAAAGGTCCAATAATACGGGTTCTGTAGTCGAGTACCCTGCAGGGGGCTTATGCCTATCTTTGTTGTACTGCAAGTCCACGAACAACAAAACTATGCGACAGCTGCGGTTGCACGAAATCGTTCTCTGCCAGTTTAGAAAGAGAGTTTAATGATAATACGTTGTTAGTCTCATAAAAAAGTAAACGACCGTATTAGAGTATCTAAATATATACTTATCTTTTAATAACAGTAAACGGGATGACGCTATTATTTGCTACTCACGTGCGTAGCTAGTGAGCATCGGAATTATGTATTGCCATAAAAATTACTGTGTGATATGTGTAATAATTATTAAGTATCTGCATAAGCGGTTGTTGTTGTTACTTTCCACTAAGATGAGTGTAGTTGCATAATTTTTTCTACGTAAAACCTTCTAACAGCTAGCTATACGATAGACGCCTGTCATTGTTCTAAACTGTAAATTAATTAAATCGGAAATATTAAACTGGCACCCATTTACTTTTGATGAACGAGGCACTGGTAAATCCCCTCCCTTTAATAGTATAACAATGTTGCGTTCTTTGTCAGAAACATTTAGAAGTAGGAAAGTATTTACGGATTGTAATACGGGAGCTTACCGATTAGGTCAAGTCAATAGGACGTTGGCCTTTGACACGTGTAGTTGTCACTTTTTTTTATCTCAGACCTGTGCGCAGGAGGGCTACATCCATACTAACAACCTCATGCATTTGCTGCGTATGACATTCACGCTGATAAAGCTAAATTATATATGTATATATATTACCTCTACCAAATTTTCGCTCAGACTCTAGCCTAGAGGGTCAAGGACATCATGACCAACGATACTATAAATTGACGAAAGATCTTGGTAGGTTTATCTGCTAACCACGTATAAGCGGTGTTAACCAAAGCCAAAGAATAATGGTAACAATAGCTGCAGAAAGATGATTTTTTCAAATATGCGGTATCTCTGTCCATTCGGTTTCGAAAATATAGCCCCTGCCCGCGGAAGAACTTGTTGCTATCTTTTGGCAGTACGTGCGCTGAAGCTAAACGCTCGGGTGAGCGAAACAATTTCGAAGGCCAACACTGTAGAAGAGATTTAACCTATAAATATACTTATTAACATAGAATATAATAACGCTGCCTGAATATTTTGGCCTTTTCTCCAGAAAGGGATATATAAAAGGACAAAAAACAAAATACTATACCACTCGAATGTAATTCTAACGGTAATGAGAAAAGGCGACCTTTAATCACTGAAGGTTTTGTTAGACCGTACGCAATAGCATTAAGTTGTCGAACAAGTATTTCCCGTATTGCTAGCTAAGTGGCTTTAATGTCACAGATTTCAGGGAGTATGGATCACGTCTAAAAATTGAAATTTGGCAGTAGTAGACGTGATAAAATTATTTATTCAAACTTAGAATAATTAATATCTCGAAAATGGGTAAGATTTCTCTAAAAAAATTGCTATTCTTTACAGCTGTATTACGATAAAGGCATACAGTCTGTTCAGGCCCATAACAAATGTGTGCTGTTTTTGGCCAACATACCTTGTCGGAGGAAGCGGCCTTAAGATGGTTCGGTCGCTTTCTTTCTGAGAAGTTCAAGCTAAAAAATGCTTCAGTGTTAGATCGCATACATCTTTAGCCACCCGGAAGGCACTGAGAGAGCCTAAACGAGAAATTCGTATGCATCCTCTATATAGTTCGGGCCTTGCATCATGATATTATCATCTGTTTCGATCTCTCCCTTAATGTACATAGTTTTAACGGAGGGCTGTCAAAAAAGCTTGTTACAATTTTTCGCTAGAAAACCGAAAAGGTTCTACAGTGATAGGATTATGGTGTTACCAGAAAAGTCAGAAGATCATCGATCAAAATTGCGCGTACTTGGCTTAGCGACATTCGTTTATATATGACAAAAAAAGAAAACTTTTAATATAAAGCTAGTACTTGCTTTAATTTCCCCTCTAAAGCTATCAACACTTACAAGGTGTACTGTGAAGTGGGTAGATAACATTCGACTCATAGAAGATTAACCGCTACATGGAACATTGCTGTTTAAACAGGACGGGTAACCGGGGTCGTGTATATTTCTAACGGACTTTGGATTGTACTCAAATCAGCCATAAATGCCAGCAAATCTAGACGATTCAGACAAGTTAACTGGGTTGAGCAGAGCCTAGATGGAGTATATTCCGCTTTTATAGGTACAGGGAGGGGCATACGACTTGAATGAAATAGATATTGACGCATAATTTAGCGTACATGGTCCTAAATGGACTATTATAGGAACATACGAAAGTTGTATGGCACATTCTATGCGCTTTAAAAGCGCTTGCTTCATAACGGTCGTAGCGTTATAATGACATGAACAGCTTATTTATCATAGGGTTTCATAGACACAACTGTGCAGCTTTACTCACAACCATAATTACTTAGTTACTTGAGTGACTCGAACTTGATCCTGTGACAGCACCAAACGTAGGTTCGTTCGTGCTATCTCATATCGATTCTTCATTGGGGTTAAGCTTTGAAGGAAGCGTCCTTTGCTTCGTTTGCTATTAGCGTAATATTGAGCATCGTTGACAGCGTCTTCATCGATGCTGCGGCGAAATGCAAACGTGTATTGATGAATGAGCATCGCGACGTTGCAGGCTGAGTTCGTTCCTTCGATGATTACTAGTCAAGGGATCTTCACTTTCAGACCAGGTCGGTCCGTCCATCTAATGAAAAAGCGGCTGCCAAAATGATAATATCTCAGAGCTTTGGAAAACTCGAATTTTGACTGGTAAACCGGAATTGATTTCAGTTTGACCTATATGATTGGCGCTTCAAATGCACACTAAATAGGAAGCCCATGAATATGTGTTGAACGGCAGGACATATATTGGGTAACATGCTTATTGGTCGGCTTTGAAATGTAGGCGTTTATACAGTCAGCACTACTTGAAACGACCTGAATCTCTATATAGATAGCACAGATGTATAGCTGAGCATGTCAGCCGGCTTCTCTGTAATTGACGATCATTATTATTCAGTTGTTTCTTTTTTTAATAAATCCTATTAATTAATTTTTGCGAATTAACAATAGTAAACACTTTACTTAAAACTTTTTTCTTTCCTATCCGGAGTGAGGTCTGTCTGTCCTTTATTTGCAAGGAATATGACCGGATTTGCACCTGCGTAACAATGACTGTTCACTAGGAATTGCTTGAACAAGTGGTAAACTCTAACCTCACCTAACGTTTCTATGCAGCTAAGTTACGCCAGACGCCGAAAAAATATACGACTTAGTTTCACTTATTTACGTTTTCCCCCTAACTATCCCTTTCTTTCTTAGATATGTCATTTTGTTTCGGACGACAGAAAAATGAGGCCAATTCAGATGTATTTCTTATGGAAGTGAGGCCTTTCTTAATCAATAGTCTCGCCTGTTCATCGAAGCTAGGTGAAGATTGATTCAAAACAAACTAGAAGAATTGAACGCCTAGAACTTTTATACAACTATATATTTAAAAGTCTGCCAAAAAAGCAGAACTCTCACTAATGAATGTTTTATATCAGGAAGAGTATATATATATTACTTATTATAATAAAATTTATTATGTAAGCGGCGTCTGTGAAAATTAATATATTAAGCGAAATATTGCTAGCCCTTTTCTTTGTTTTAATATACCTTCTCTATGGCATCAGCATATAGGTACACGGTGTGTTCTCGTCTCTTTGGATTTCCTCTGTGGAGAGTGTTTGAAATTCTATTAAAAAGTGCTCTGTATTTTAGCTACTTTGCCAGATATGTATTAGCATTATAGGAATCACCTTTGTTCTCAAGCGCAATATTTAGTTGAACATATACGTTTACATGTAAGAAGTCCTTCGAGCCTTGCTTTTCCGCGCCTCATCGTTTTTATACTTTCTAATGCACTTCTAACACTAATGGCTCTTCAAGCGTTATTGTTGCTAAGTTTTTTGTTGATTGTGCCAAATCTGTTGTTGTTCCTCTGTTACTTACGTAAAACACGGTGCCAAGACATTCAGCCTTTTTCGGCAAGAACGCCAGTGATACCTATTTACTATGAAAATCTACAGATATGTTCATGCATTGTATGTGCACAGATTTATTATTGTTTTATATAAAGGACAAACTGTGAAACAAAATCTTTTGACCTCGTGTTGCTAATAGAGTTACTAAATGTTGCAGCTTTCGTGGAATGGAATCGTGGATCCCGTTACGTGTTTATAGCACACCCCAGCAACAGCTCCCTAATATGGTTGAAGTCTTGAGTCTGATACAACCTTCCCTAAGCGGAATAGCGAGCTCAGAGACGCCTCGTCTTCCCTGTTTTATTCTGTATGCGCTCAACACAAGCCGAATATATATACTGCGTTAAGTGTGTTCCTTGAACGCCGTGTCCGGTTGCGCCTTGCAGGCCGGACTGTCCCATACCTCTACTCTCACATTTCTATGTTAGATATCCATCAAATTCTGGCCAGAGGTCACCTCTGGATTGATTCACTTCAACCCTGTAGGTGTTTTTTTAGGTCGCCACGAAAGAATGAGCGTTGGGAGAGTCTGGTCTAAAGCAACATAGTGCAAAGGTAGACTCATTTCTTGGTTCGGAGCAGAGAGAAAACCTGGGACGTTAACACAAGGACAAGTATATTCCATGCAACAACCGTTGCGTTCTACTACGCCTACGACCATGACCCGTATATATAGGGTAGCGGAGTCTGAGAACTCGGACCTCAGCCGGCATCGAAGTTATAAGTTTTCCTCATTGATCCTTTATGGCATGCTTGGTCCTTGAAGGACTGCCATATAGAACCCTGTCTGCTGTTGAAGTTAAAACACTAACCGCTTCCTGTAGTTTCGAGTTCGTTGGCACTCATCTTGATGTCGCGGAGTTCGGCGTCAATGTTGACGTTCTTGCCGCGGAGTTTGCGTAAAACTTCATGCGCCTGTTGATCTTTACTTTTTCCTGTAATGCAAATATGCGGCGAAAAAGCGAGAGTGAAGGGGTGAATCAATGATTTATCGTTACAACAACATATTACGATTAAATAAGAAATTTATATCTAGAGTTACGATCAGTGTCAACGTACAGCTGGGTACGATTCTGGGTATCTCATTGGGACTATAGAATTCTCTGGCCTTGACAGTAATTACTACCTGTTGTGACTAAAGTGGGAGTCCTTGATGAATGATTTGAACATTTGACCGACTAGAAGCTATTAAGCTGCATAGGTATCCGATCGAGTAGCTTTATAAATTACATTGTGCATGAGGGCCCATCAGTACGCATCTTTTTTCAGATTTTCAGATCGTGCGTGCATTAAGTAAAATTCGTACGAAAATAGTGGCGAAGCAACAGTTAACCGCAAATAACTTACTTGCTATTTTTTTCAAATTAAAATTTATTAAATTAAAATTAAGAAACAAAAATTTAGAAGCAGTCCTCATTGCGCGTTTATAGGCATTCTCTTCGTACGTAGAGTTTGTTGTATCCTAAGTATACGCATGGGTCCTATGTGTTACTTGAGTTTATACGGTCCTTTTAAACTTTGCATCGTCTTAATTAACACGCATAGTAATTATCATGTGACAGGTTCTCACCACATAGCCAGCGAGGAGATTCAGGCATGAAAAGAAAGCAGACACCTTGAATCAGTGCGGGTATAGCTGCTAAACCCAGCATGAACCTGGAAAAATACAAAAACCATAGACGCTTATACGGAAGTATATAAATAAGCTAATTATAGCTTCCTAGAGTCAGCTAGGATAGTTAGCTGTACAATAGGTTTGTCTCATCAAATGGTCATACGTGTACTTACACTAGACAATTTTATTCAGCCTAATCATGTATATGTGTAACACTTTATCACGCATAACTACGTTTGCTTAACAATATGTGTCACCTTAGTGGCTTCGTAAAGTACGTATCAATTTCAACACGTTTTTGTCAACGGTTATGAGATTCCAGGGCCGAATCTAAGGAAGGATCGGGCCATCCTGTTATATGCTCCATATGCATTTAATATATACAGACAATACAAAAATCGTTTCCGCAGTACCCTTGTACGGGCGGCTTAAAATAATGCTACATATCTTCTAATGTTTTTGAGTCATAACTTTGTCTGTTCTCTAATTTCGTTTGCCTCCTAAATTCAATATATTGCTTTAAATACATCCTTGCCGTTTTTATCTACTACCGAAGCCTTGCGGTTTTTGCTGTGCTGCCGTTCGGGTGCTTAACACGAACTTCGTCATTGGACTCTATAAAGCACTTGACCTTTTTATCTATGGATTAGTAAAAGCAGACCTATTAATGTAGCCTGAAAATACTGTGCACGTCAAAGGGCAAGATCAGGGTCAGCGGAATAAGCAGAACGTTTCACCAGCCATAACGAATGAACTCGTGAGGACACAATTTTCAATTCAGCATTTTCAGCCGCCTCAACAAATTGCAGCTGTCAGCAATAATATAAATAACAGCATTTTGAAGATGCTTTAATGTTTTCGTCTCAGGCAAACCGGTTAAAGGCCGCCTTGCCCAAAGGGATAACTATGTAGTTAGATGGACTGCATTGAAGACCGTGCGATTGTGTTGCTAACATACGGAAGCTTAGGCTACAACTTTTAAGCGCTTCGAGCAAGAGATGCAGCAAGATAGAAACTGAGCTCGTCAACCAGTCAATAATTGATAACTGCAAGTAAGTAACTTGGCCAATAGGCCACTCAACGGAGGACCAAAATCACAGTTCTCTCGTCGTTGTCATATGCTTATTGGACACCTAGCGTAGACATGGGCACGAAGATATGCCATGTAGCCTCTGCGATCGTCGACTACGTCCGATGGCCCTTCTTTTTTTTATCGAATTACCGTGCCTTTTTGTCTAGGCGATGGAAAAGGATCCCAAAGTTTTTCGGTCCTTCGAATTCATACAGTTCGCGTCTCCGTCGTTTTCTCTTTCCATAGAAAACAAGGATATATAGCCAAAACGTGTTATTGTTTGCGAAACATTCGAAGTAGGTTTAAAAGGGTCGTTTCCGTTTGTCCTGATAGTCTAGCGGTGGTTGTCAAACGAGTGGAAGGAAGGTAGTGGCTGAACTGACCACCCATCCAGCCATGTTTACAGGTTCGTCTGGCTTCCTGCTAGACTTCGAACCTATTAACGGCAGGCTTTTGTCCTATCGTTTTGAGTAAGTCATTGCGCCCCTTTAGCTCTGCTCCATAAAGCTCAGTTATTGAAGCTACAGTTGGTTCAACTCATTATCTTCGATTTCCGACTATTACATTCGACGGCCTAGCGGAGGTCAAAACGTTAATCCCGATAAAAGCTCAAAACATATTACGACCACCGTTGGAATATCTTCCATTGTACGTGGTATAAAGTGACAGAATGGCCTATAACGTAGATAGCATTATCGTTTTAGCAATCAACATCTTCTATGGTTAGAATGATCCTTCCTGATTTAAATTTGTAAACCGTAGTACCTTTCTTAGGAGAATTTTCCTATGTGATGATTGTATTGATTACCGGGCGATAAAATAACTTAGATATTCTGATCTCAAAACCCATTGGTAGAAATAATTAGATATTTATGCATAGAACGCTTTGACTAATACAACTTGAGTAGCTTTAAGTCAAGCTAGACCCACCTTCACAGCGTCAAAGAAGGCAAATCAAAACATCTATAATGATTTAACAGTAACAACGCTTGTAGCATTAACAGTGGTACCGTGTATACAAAATCATACCACCTAAGTCTATTTGCAACGACAACAAATATCTTAGAAAATATACACTACCCACATTTTTACCCTGTCTTAAGATAAGGTTCGCACAGGTGCAGCAGGTTAGGATTTACATTCCGCAGGTTATAGAAATAATCGTTTTTGATCACTGCGGGCCTTTTCCCCTTAAATCCACCTTCCCTTTTTTTAATTTGGACAAATTGTCTTTTACCTCTTCGCTCGTTGAAAATAGTTGCGCTGTACTTGTTGTATTCCTCTTAAAAAGCTAACGAACTCTTACATCCACCGCCGTTTTCCATGTTCTACTCTGCGTAAGTACTTTATTCATATGAACATTGGATAATAACAATAGATAAGGCCGATTTTAAAAAAAAACGTAAACTCTATACAACTTGTGTGAATAGAAGTTATTATAGCATGGACAACAACTGAAGAAGGCAGCGCCTTCTTCGCTCGTCGGCTTGCTGCGTTCGTTTTTTGTAGAAAATTATCCTTGACCTAATTATTCTAGTCATTCTTACTCGTTGTTATAGCTACAGTAACTCAGACCGGCACTACGAAACCCGCATCCCAAGCATCGGTAATGTACATCACCCAGCTTTATAGACTAATGTTGATTGGTGGATCTACGCACCTCGAAGTTACATGGCGCCGAGCGCTGATCGTGCAAAAAGCTAAGTACGCATTTAGGTCTACTTGATCTGAGGCCGTGCTGTTGTAAAAAAGCAAGGTCAGACGCGGCCTCACAAGAAAACACTTGACAACCCATCGAATGCAAGCAATCAACGCAGAGGAATCAAAATGAAAGCATATCTCTATACCAAGACAAGGTCGCTTCATTTTCCAGGATTGTTTTTGAAAGAAACGAAATTGTGGGTTTCTGCTTTGTTCAACTACACGTCACGTCTTAATTTCTATTTGTATTACGTGTGTGTGTGTGTGTGTGTTTGTCTATGTACATGTGGCTTGCATATATGTGCAAGCTTGATTGCACAGTTGTCTGCGGAATGGGTCGTTTAGCTCTTTGCTTGTATATGAGTGAATATAATATAAAGAACGTTTCGTAAGTGCTTTCGTGTGCTTTCAGTCGATGGATATGGTGTTTTGACTATAAAATAATACATTATTCTCTAGTACAGAGTGCATGGGTAGTCTTCGCTTTAAGTCGCTTCCTGCGCTGTCGTATACAATGTCCCTAGAAAGGCTGAATAAGCAATCTTCCTACCCGCCAACGACAACCTTGTCATATATGGACGCGCTTTGCAGTTGCATTCTGCCTTAACCCAACTGATACCGAACGAATGAGCAGAGATTGTACGATACGGATTTATGATCTGTAGACTATATGTTTACTAATCGGCCCTGATGTTGTTGCTTTATAGAGAGGTTGACTACGCTACAGACATTAGCGGGAAGAGCTTATCATTAGTTGACATTGACCTTGCCTGCTGTATGATCTCCTATGGCTTGAAGCAGCTCTTGAAAAACTAATGACGATGGGTGAAACGGGTGTCTTCTGACGGCCCCTACAACATAACTCTGACATTGGCAGTTTGACATATATAACCGCAGGCCGATTCAATGACTAATTAAAAACAGACCAGACCGGCAGAGAGGTAAACGCCGTAATACAATGACTCGCTAAGTTAGAGGAAAAAGGTAGCAACTTAGATATGCCAGATATAATGCGAAGGCCGGTTAGACTGTAGCCTCGTGGTAGAATTAAATCTCATCGTGTGCGCATGCCACGTGGCTTGCCCAGATTACGGAGAGTTGAACTGCGGACGACGGCCTTCAGACCTGAATGCGATAGGATCAACCATACACGTATATCAGTTTGTAACTGTTATGTTTTTCTATCCATGGACACTTGGGTAGGCAGTGGTAATAATAGCAGTATTGACTACAACAGCATGGACATTCGTCGTTTGACATTGAAACAAAGTGGAATTTGTTACAAGAGAATGTCTTTGATAACAGAGTCTGGAACAGAGCGCAGAGCCTGGAATCGCTTCGTTTCTTTGGCCGTTCCCAATGAAAGCTGATAGGATACACCAATTTTGAGGTTCTGAAGTTCTAAAAATCTAGAGATTTCTACTAAATGTTGAATTTTCGATTCATACGTTTACAAAATACATTTGTATTTTCATAAACACAACCAAATGAAGTACAACAATGTTTTGCTTTTGCTTGTAATAGCAGCATGGTGCGAGACGTCAAAGAATCATCGATAATGAATAAAGTTGAACGGGCCTGCGTCGGTTACGGCCGTTCATAATACCACTCGAGAGATTCAGCGCCGAACGTGGGGTGACGATTCGTCAGAACGTACAATATAAGCCTGTTCGTATTTGTTTACATACGTCGAGTTAAATGAGATTGCTCTATTGTGCGTTTTATGACGGTTTAAAAGATCGAGTGGTACGCTGTAACAACATGTAAAATATATTTGGCTTTGGGAAGTTATCTGTGAATAAAACAGTTACAACTGCTGCGCAAGCCGTCGAAGTTCCACTACTGATATAATCATCTATTTAGTTATAACTAAGGTAGGATTTTGTGCTTCCCGAAGAAGACGCCTGGACTAAACGCTGTTAGTATTGACGATGAACATTTGAATCCCGATCTCGAACATATTGACCAAATAATGAACGTTAAAACGGAACGTAGTGGGTTGTTATCGTGGATCGCCAATAGAACGAAGCACGTACATGCAATGTAATGATTCATCCATTCATAGTAGAACTATTTAGCTATGTTTTATAGCAGGCTTTATCTTACTTCTTTCTTCTTAAATCCGCACACGTCGATCTAGGGGCAAAGAAACTCTACGAAGACCAATCAAATAAAAGTGTTAGTATACAAACATGAAAAAAATGAAAGCACTTTATTATACGGTCGTGGATGTACTCAGTAGCAGTGAACGAAGCACAAACAAATCAG